GAAAAGAAAACATAAGTATATAATTGGAATAAACAAATATTTCATGCCAGAAGTCTTTGTACATCCTGTCACTTTGCAATATCACTTAAATAGAAATAATATCAAAGAAATCAACTATAGAAATTAGAACTGTTAGTGTTTAGACCAATATTATCATGTGCTTAATGAGAATAATTTGCATTATTACCAAATCTATCACATCAAAAAAGTGTCCTGATTGACAGACTAAAATATAAATGAGTATTAAGAATGAAATTGTTCTACTTATCCATGCTTTCACCCGGGTTCCACCCCATTTATGTTAACTGAAAGTCTTTGTGTACTAATATTTCATTTGGTATAAAATCAATTTTCTACTTAATGTTTATACTGTTTCATCTGGAGATTAAAGATTAAATTTCAAGATATGAAACATTTCAGACAAAGCTTTTTCTATATCTTCTTTGCTTTTAATTTTGAGTGCAAAGAGATTGAATTGATTTCAATACACATAAATCAGAAATGTTTAATAGAATAGAATAGAATAGAATAGAATAGAATAGAATAGAATAGAATAGAATAGAATAGAATAGAATAGAATAGAACTGGAAGGGACCTTGGAGGTCCAGCCTCCTGCTCAAGTAGGAGAACCTATACCATCTCAGACAGGTGATTGTCCAGTGATGGATCACCCACGATTTCTGGAGGCAAGCTGTTGACTGTCAGGAAGTTTCTCCTTAATTCCAGGTTGCTTTTCTCTTTGATCAGTTTCCAACCATTGTTTCTCGTCCTTCTCTCTGGGGCTCTGGTGAACAATGTGACCCAATCCTCTTGTGGCAGTCCCTCAGATACTGGAATACTGCTATCATGTCTCCCCTATTTCTTCTTTTCTTTAGACTAGCCAAACCCAAGTCCCGCAGCCATTCTTCGTATGTTTTAGTCTCCAGGCCTTTGATCATCTTAGTTGCTCTTCTCTGAATTTTTTCCAAACTCTCAACATCTTTTTTCTGATATGTGACCAAAATTGGCTGCAGTACTCCAGGTGTGGTCTTACTAGGGTTTTATAAAGAGGTACTAATACATTGCATGTTCTTGATTCTATGCCTTCTGTTTATACAACCCAGGATTATATTAGCTTTTTTTGGCTGCTGTTGCACACTGCTGGCTCATAATCAAGTAATTGTCCACTAGGATTCCAAGATCCCTCTCACAGTTACTGTTTTTAAGCCAGGTCTTGCTCAATCTGTACTTGTACTTTTGATTTTTCCTGCCTAAATGTAAAACTTTGCTTTTCTCCACACTGAAACTCATTTTGTTGGATAGGGTCCATTATTCAAGTTTGTCAAGATCTTTTTGGATCCTAAGTTTGTCTTCTGGGGTGTTGGCTACTCCTGTCAGTTTGGTGTCCTCTGCAAATTTGATGAGTTCCCCTTCAATTCCCTCTCTAAGTCATTTATGAAGATATTGAAGAGTACTGGGCCTAAGACGGAACTTTGTGGTACCCCGCTGCTTACTTCTCTCCATGTGAATGTAATGCCATTGAGAAACTACTCGTTGAGTACAATTTGTCAGCCTGCCACAGATCCATCTGGTGGTGATGTTGTCTATTCCACCTTTTATTATTTATTTAATAGCACCATCCTATTAGCATTTACTTAAAAGAAAACCTCACTGCATTATTTAATAAATATGGGTAAAAAGTTCCATTTGAAGAAATACATGTCTTTGTAGATATAAGTCTCAAAATATCCAAGCTTTTGATTAATGGAAATATTATGCCTTCTTCAATAATTATGGCAATGTCTTCTATGTATGATAACCATGACATAAAAAAGAATACTAATTCATGTTACTTGATATGGGATGAGTAGTTGACAGTTGATTCTATTTCTTTCTTTTTAAAATTTTCATTGTATTATTTTTATTATTTAATTTTATGAGTTATTTAACACAGTATGCTCATAAGAATATGGGGATAAACTGGAAAAAATGAATTAAGGATATGCTTTTGATAGCTAGTTTAACTCATAAAGAGATCTTGAGTACATCTATTGCTATGAAATAATTAGAAAAATTGACGATCAGAACAGTTTGACAGTAGAAACAGTTATTCATGACAGAAGGTAGACTTCCATTCATTGCATGCACTCAAGCAGTGGCTAAAGAATCATGTTGCTAGTATTTTAGTCTGGATTCATGCTCTGAAGAGAGGGTTGGACTCAGTGGCTAAAATGGCCCTTTCCAACTCTATGAACCTATGATTCAATGTGCCTAATTAATACTTTAATAATTAATAAAGGTATAATTAATATTGTATGCCTAATAATGAATGCAATTCATAAAGTTATAACTACTGTACAATCAAATGATCAGTATGCATCAGTCACAGAAATTTTAAGGAACTTTGTGTTCACATCAAGTTTCACTTCTTCTATAGGAAGTTTCATTATATACTTATTCCTTTTGAGCCTAAAAGACTGTCTCAAATACCAACTTCATTCATATAAAGTTGTCTGCATTCTAATATCAACATTTGATCCCATGCTTGGTCTACTAGTTACAGTTAATGAATATGGACTTCTTCTAAGACCTGGGGACATGTTTTGAGGAGTTTTGTGACATATTTTGATTTCTCTTTTATATTAAGAAAAATCTAGAAGTTTTGCATTCATTCTAAGGTAATCTGCTTTTTTAAAAAAATAGTTTTGTTTGCTAAATTGAGGAGTAGTGATATTCCCATTCTAGATTTATGTGCCATCAGTTCAAATCAGGTCTTGCAGTCTCATGACTATAACAAGACAATGAAGTCATGTTGTCAGGTTTTGCTAAAAATCGTGGGATTGTTGTTTGTTGGGAAATTCTGCATGGGTGGTGTAGAAGCTGGGTACCCATGGGATATCACTGCTGCTATTATGAAGGAGCCTTATTCTGCAATATGAATAAACTTTTGATAGACAACAATAATATATTCAACAAATAATACTACATTATCTTCAACAGGCACCAATAATATCCAGAAGAAGTCTGATAGAAAACATAGCCACCTAATAGCTATTAACTATTAATATAGCTACCTTTCTTAATTTGGTCTCATACAATTTTAAAGCCATGGAGGCTGGTAATTCTAAAAATATGCTGCTGCACATTATTCTCAATGAAGAACATTTCTTGCTTTGTCAACATCTGATAAATAGTAGATTTATTGGATGAAATTTAATTCTAGTATTATTGCATACAGGGATCTGCAAATCTTTTCGCACTGTTCAGCATTTCATTTATTAAATAGGCTTTCATCACTTGGCATACTTTTTTATCGTTATTCTGCTACCACTGTAGAGATAGTAATGGATTTAACAGCCATTCATTTAGCAACTGTTTGAAGTTACAACATTCCTGCAAAACTGACTTCTGACCAGTCCTTGCACTTATGACCATTGAAACATTCCCATCCATGGTCATGTGATCAAAATATACAATTGCATCCTGGGATTATGTGATTTCATTTATGACCTTCCCAGCTGATTTCTGACAAGCAAAGTCATTGGGGCTAGTGATTCACAGTGATTCACTTAACAATTATACAAATTGTATAATTAAGAATTATAGAAATAATAAAAAAGTTGGATGTTTAGAAAACATAATCAACTTCATGACATAGATCTACAGGTAGTCTGATATCTCAGAAAATTATTGTTGAGATCCCACAACTTTCAGATTTTATAAAAGCCCATTTCCCTTTCTCCCAAAAGCTTACAATCCGGATATGCAAATAACTGTATTTGTTTGATTATATCCTTTCATATCTTTAGAAATTCAGGAAAGAGTATATGAGGATATAACCTGACCCCCCAAAACCTTATGAGATATTTTTGCCTGTGAAAAACATCCTCAAAGTCATCAATTATAATCACTATATGAGACATGAACAATCTTGAAATATGAAAGAAAGAAAGAAAGAAAGAAAGAAAGAAAGAAAGAAAGAAAGAAAGAAAGAAAGAAAGAAAAAAGAAAGTTTTCATGGCAAAAAATAGACTTACACTTCTAGGTCCAACTTCCTAACTGCTGTGACATGATGGTTTTCATGCTATTTTTTGCTATTGTCCCCTGAAACTGATCTTGATAGTCAACTGAGTACTGATCTTAGAAAAATCATATGGAGAGCCATTATTGTGTACTGATATATCCAAATTCAAACCCATCCTTGAACTTGAAAAGTCAGTGAGTGACTTTTGTTCAGTCACTTTTTTGGGGGGTTGTTGTTTGGTGGAGTTCGTGGTTCTCTATAAGCTTTGTTGTTTGCTTGTAGACATTTCATTACCAACATCAGTTCTGATGTTAACTAGATGTTACATTTGCAAGCAAACAACTAAGTTCACAGAGCAATAAGGACTCCACCGTTCAACTCTAAGCTACAAATATTCTCTTCTATTGGAGGGTTGTCTCTGTGAAGACAAAATTGGAGCACTATGTATACTGCCTTGAGCACCTGGATGAAAATCTAATAAATAAATCTAAAACTTAAATAGTCATCATGTTTTGTAGCTATTAATAGAATTTTTTCCCTTCAAGTCAGACTTTAACAAATCCATGCATGCACTTTTAATTTATCCGGCCTTTTAAATGCAAATTACACATCTCTACTATGTAAAGTCCCTCTATTTCTGTGTCCTGATAAATTCTGAAAGTTCTGAGCTAGGATAATGAATATGATGAAGATGACATGTTATAATTTTATAAAGCTTTACCTCAATATTGGGAGTAAATTTACAATTCTTTAGCCTAAGCCCTTTATTTAACACTTCTTTCCTAAAGAATAGAAAAGTCCTATCTTAGCATCCGTTCTTGCCATTCCAATTTAGAGAACTGCAAAATTATACAAAATAATACAACAATAGTCTCCCCTTTTTTCTGAGTACAAGGCTTTTCTGAAGCCTTTTGAAGGAGCTAGTGGCCTTGGCGACTAACTGGGGATTTCTGATCCTGTTAAATATGTTTGTCTTATTTGTCTTTTTCTCATTCAGGTTATCTGGAATGAATATCCCAGCTCCGGTTATCAGCAACAAAAACTGGCTAAGACTTCATTTTGTAACAGACAGCAACCACCGATACCGTGGATTTAGTGCTCCTTATCAAGGTATATTTAATGAAAACCATTTTTCCTTCTTCTCTGAAACTTAGGAATGGAAGTGGGGGTTGGTGTTGGGGTGCAAACTAATATACTACTCATTAAAAAAAAGGAAGAAAGATTTCTTATCTGTAAGTTCTGACATGCAAAAACAGGCATTCTCTGTGGGAAGACAAAAAATACATTCAATACTAAGGTTTATTTGCCCTGCAAATACTGCATATTTAGGAGAGATTTGGATCAGACGTGTGCAATTTATACTGTGCTATACTTTTAAACATAGTGATCCTGCTGGAATATTGTGGCCAGTGCTTATTTGTGTACAGGTAGTCCTCGACTTACAACAGTTCATTCAGTGACCATTCAAGGTGACAACTGCACTGAAAAAAAGTGACTTATGACCGTTTTTCACATGTACAACTTTTGCATGATCCTGTGATCAGAATTCACATGCTTGCCAACTGGTTCACATTTATGACCGTTGCTGTGTCCCAAGATCATGTGATCCCCTTTTTGCAACCTTCTGAGTCCATGGGGAAGCCAGATTCACTTAACAACCAGGTTACTAATTTAACAACTGCAGTGATTCACTTAACAACTGAAGCAAGAATGGTCGTAAAATGGGGTAATACTCACATAACAAATGTCTTACTTAACGACAGATAATTTGGGTTCAGTTGTGGTCGTAAGTCAAGGACTACCTGTAAATTGCAGCATTATTAAGCAAAGTTCTTTTGTCAAACAGAATACATTTCATTGCACACAGTAGCTTTTTACTTGTTTACTAACCAGTTTTTTTAATTTATTATCTTCTATTTTAATATGAGCAAATTAGCATGAAAAGAAAAAAAATGTTTCAGAGGCTGTCACAACTATTTTGCCAGTTGTTTTTGAGCTTGAAACACATAAAATATCTGAAATAGCCTGATCCGGATGCAAAAGAGCCTGTTCAGATGTAAAAGGATTAATAAGATAATCTATTTTAGGCTTTGATGGGAATTAGCTTGAGTCCAAACAATTTGAGTACCGCCAGGGAGTACTAATTATACATCAAGCAGTATTATTCTTTTCTAAGTTTCCTACCCTGTTATTTTTACTTTTTTAAAAATTGGTAAATTACAATTTGTGTTTTCTAAAGCATGAACTTCAGGAAAAGGTACTATTTTTTGACGTGTTGTAATGCTGAGGCTTTACATCTGTTCAAAACTTCAGAGTAGCTCAGCTTTATATGTGAATAATTCACCTTCACGAGTACTTTGCAGAATCCCCTAACCAAGTTGATTTTTAAACAACTTATAAAAATAACTTTTCTCATATGGTATTGGATATCTGCAAAATAAAGCCACAGAGAAATACAAACCAATAAATATCTGTGAATGTCCCCAATGATAGCATTTTCAATTGAAGTGGAAAAGCTACTGTACCAACATAAATTATTGGTACAGTATTTACTGTACCAATTTACTGTGTATTTCTCTTTAAATTGCATCCACTACTAAATACTTTTTAACATGCCAGCTGTATACATGCTGTAATTCAAGAATTACTGTTAAATCTGTGGAATTTTATTATTAAAGTAAAGCAAAATGAAAATGTTCACTCGTGGAAAGCGAAATGTTTAAAGAGTGTCAGAATTTGATATGGGAAAATTCAGGAGTCGTATGTTTAGTTACATCACATTTATACAGGAAAAAGTACAAAAGACAAAAATACTTTTAAAAAGTATTGACTTTGACCAACATTGCCAAAAGGACTCCTACTTAGTGGGACTTTGCTTTCTTAATTCCTGCAGATGTCACAGTTTTCAAAATCTGCTGTGCAATAGTTCAACAACCCTTCCGAGCAGTGTTGAGGTGTGTAACTTTGGAGTGACATTAAAAACCAATTCTAATGGATCCATCACAATGGCCACAGAGTTATAGCATTAATATGAAAGGATTAAAGGACAATATTAATTGATATGTTTAACAGAAACAGGGATATGATAATTTTTTTTGTAAGGTGGTCCTCAGTTTATGACCATGATTGAACCCAAAATTTCTGTTGTTAAGCAAGACAGTGAGTTTTTGCCCCATTTTATGCCCTCTCTTTCCACAGCTGTTAAGTGAATCACTGCAGTTGTTTAGTTAGTAACATAATTGTTAAGTAAATTTGGTTTTCCCATTGAGTTTGCTTGTCAGAAGATTGCAAAAGGTGATCATGTGACCCCAGGACACTGCAACTGTTGCCAGTTGCCAGGCATCCAAATTTTGATCATGTGACCATGGGGATGCTGCAATTATTGTAAGTGTGAAAAATGGTCCTAAGTCACTTTTTTCAGTGCCATTGTAACTGAATGGTCACCAAATAGTTGTAAGACGGGGACGATTTGTACATAACGTTGCTGATTTGTCACCTCAGAGGAGAATTGAGGAACTTTTTTTTTCCATCAGTCACAAGCTGATAAGTGCAAATCTTTATTATCAATATAAAGCTATAATATAAAATACAATATGAATACATATTTATTTCAATGGACATGTTCTTTTGTACTTCAAGAGTGGACAATAGCTAACAACACAACTCCTAGTATAAATTAGTTTAATTAATACACTCATTAATAGTGTCCTAGCTGACTGATTAGTAGAAGAGTAATCTAAATTATTGTAATTTAAAGTTAATATTTTAATATACCAATTAATAATTTTAGAAATAATTAATCACCTAAGTTCTCTATATAAAGTGACCCATTTATATATAAAAAACTATATTTTTATTAGTAGCATAATATAATCAGCTACTGAGCATCCAATTTAAGCACTGCTTAAATATTAACCCTTGTATCAATAGTCATCTTTTCTGAAATAGTTTACAGTTTAGCTGATCCAGGCTAATGTTGTGTATGACATGTTCCTTCTTTCCTGTAATGTGCACACTTTGTGATCAAATATTTTGTATTTACCTAGCCATAGCCAGCTATACCATTGTGTCACCTATTATTCATTTTGTTCTTTGCTCATTAGAGAATACTTCCATATATAGGGAGAAGCAGTCTGATACTGAAAAATAAACCAATTATTGTTCAAGGTTGTAAATCTACTCTACATTCATTTTCTCATGTTGTCTCTTGGGAAAAGGGGTTAATTATTATTTTTTAATTAAAATAAAATTATATTATAAAACAAAAGGAAAATGACTTACTATAAGTTAAACGGTGTAAAACATGGAAAATACACAGATTAAATAAAATAAAATAAAAGCAAATAAAATCCTTATAACTAAATTAATTAATCAGAGAAACTAAAATAACATTGATTTCAGAGTTTACAAAGCGATCATATCCTGGAGCTAAAATATTTAAAATAATACAAGATGGATATTTAAAAAAAAATAGTTTAAGTAGGATTTAGCAATAGTGAACTTTAGTTACAGCATCTTTGTTAATGTATGTACAGTACTTTTTTTTTCCTGGAAAAGAATAATAGTGAGTCTGTTATGGCATCTTCAATCTTAAATCTCCCCTTAGTGTATTTCAATAATATCATTTGAAAGGGCATGGCATTTCAGGCAATTTTCCAGCCCAGGTTTTTTTTCCTTTATTACTTCTATAATATTACAATAAACCTTATTAGGCATATTCTGCTATGTTGGATATTTTTTTAAACAAAATGCGGTTAATGCAGCATCTCTCAATTGCCACTTCTCTGCAGCTTTGTTTCTAGACCTCTTATTCAACTTTCTTCCCTTTACACCATGAAGGTTAATTCACCAGTTGGAAGTGAGATTATGAATGATCCAAATTTGCTTGGGAAACCTTGTCACAGTGGTCATCTTGCTGATTTTATTTTATTTTATTTTATTTTATTTTATTATTTTATTTTATTTTATTTTATTTTATTTTATTATTTTATTTTATTTTATTTTAGTTTATTATTTTATTTTATTTTATTTTATTTTATTTTATTTTATTTTATTTTATTTTATTATTTTATTTTATTTTATTTTATTTTATTTTATTTTATTTTATTTTATTTTATTTTATTTTATTTTATTATTTTATTTTATTTTATTTTATTTTATTATTCTCTGTGTGCCTACTTTGAATCCTTAAGATAATAAGCTTCTGTAGGTTTCTGCTTTCTCGTAAATTTGCT